TCTACACAAAGTGCAAAACCATTTCTCCCTAGTTAATAAACGACAGCAGAAATGAAATAACCATCATTTAAAAAGCTGACATGCACTCAAACAGAACTGATCATTTCTGGCATGAGCATGATTAGTTTTTGGAAATGCAAGAGTATATTTTTCCCAGAAGGGATGAGCTGGGAGCATTTTGCAAAGATCAACAGTTTGATACAAACTCTCCTCCACTGGAGCATGTCGTAGCTCTAGCTGGGCTCATGTCTAAGGATAAATTACTGATGATAAAAGTAAGGATTTCAGACAGACTTTTTCTCAAGTCATCGCTATTGAATTGGTATCATTTGAGTATTCTAGGCTTGAAATGTAGCCATTAAAATCTTGATTTTATGTCAGTTATCTGTCTACTCTAAACCGTCTCCGATTGAGCAGTTTTTGCAGAGAAAGCTGGAAAAGGAAAGGAAAAAAGGACATAAAAACTCTTGCAGCATAATCTACTTCTCTGTTCTCCTTTTTGTTATATCAGTACGTTTCAGTTAAACTAACGCCAAAACCCTGCTAAATACACTGTAAATAGTTGACACCAAGCTCATAACTTTTTTGGTTCTTGATCACATTTTTGCCATTATTTTGGTTGTTTACTTTTTGGTATTTAATTAGAAATGTTAGCCGGATGTTTGCGGCTGCATTGCTTTACATGACAGATATAAAGAAGAATGAGTCAGATTTTAACAACTATTAAGCAGCCATGAACACAACATATGATCTATTTAGTGAAAGTAGGGACACAGTAGAATACATGTGATGTGATTCAACCCCAACCCTCTTTTTAGCATTGTTTGTATAAAGTCATGTAGTTATTTAGTTAACGTTAATATTGTAATTCATACATGCCTGTTGTTTTAATCACAACACTATATCGACCAGGGAAGAGAAATATTCGTATTCCAATTAAAGGTGGGGGTAGGTAAGTTTGAGAAACCGGCTCGAGATACACTTTTTGTTATATTCCATGGAATGCTCTTAACATCCCGATAGCAATGAATATCTGAAGTGATATGAAGTGCTCCAATCCATAAAAATCTGTGGAAGCCGTAGCGCTGTAAAAAGCACGACCAATCATCTGAGACGGCCCGGCTAAAGTAACTGGATGGCCTACCTGCCTGTCAGCCTTCCATCTGTGCACAAACTTATCTCGTGCCCTCATTGGTCATGTGCGCGTTCGTGTGTGTTGGAGAAGGGGCTCTGTAAGGAAGTGGCAGATTTGTTCCGGCTGTGTATTTTCAAATTCTAGTGCACTCAAGCTGGTTTCTCCAAAATTACCTACCCCACCTTTAACTGATTTTGTGTAACAGTTTACTGTATGTGCATGTGGGTGTGTGCTCTTTCCTTACTGTCTGTGCCAAGAGGATGATGTGAGATATCTCTGGATTTTATTTACCAACAGCCTTACACGTCACCCTGCAAGCACCCTCCCTATAAAAGCTGTGATCTTCTTATTTGCTGTCTGCTTGCATCCCACGCTGTCTCCGTCTCACACTCCATGCTCACCTCATGAGTCCAGCTAGCATCACTATACAAATAACATGGTAGAAGCCACACCTGAGGGAGAGCTGATGGAAGGAGGTGTTGGTGGCGACAAGGTGGTGCGTGGTTTTGAAGGTGGAGTTGAAAGCAGTGTGAAGAAGCCTTTTTTCCAGCCGGCCCTCTGCCTCTCTGCTAAGCAGGGCCCGTTGCCAGCGCTCGCGAAGGCTGTAATGAGTTTATTTCATGTCGGCTGTGAAAGTGCCCGTCTCTGTCTCGCAGGCACTCAAACAGAGCTGAGGCCCATAAACACAAAGTGCAGTGTGTAAATCCCCACAGCCTGACGTCTCCCAGCCTGCCCTCTATGGCTTCTGAGCATCTCTGTATCGAGAGGGAGAAGGGGAGAGGCGAGATCCCCACTTACCCCTCAGGAGAATCCACAGGCAGGGCTACAAGGTGCAGCCCGGCCCCCTCACCAAAGACCACTTGTGTTGTGATCTTCAACCTCTGCTGCTTACACTTGTCTCTTCAGAGAATGCATGTTTTTTCATGTCGAGAGGCGATCAAACGGCCGGCTGCCATGAAGAACACGCTGTGTGGTGTAAACAGCAGCAGATCAAAAACAGCCGCATTGATTGGCTCTGGCTCTTGGTATTCCACCTCTGACGAATAGGACATCAGATGTTCGCTTTCCATGACGTCAGCCGGCCTTGCTTGCCTTCCTCTGCTCTCCTGCTTAATTCCCTCCCCTCGGTGTATCGCAAAATACCTCCCCTTGAATTTTCTTTCCAAGCACAGGTCGGTGTCTCGACACAAGGTCCCTGTGTAGAGCTGCGTCCTCCCGGGGCCTCGGAGCCAGTGGTAGGTCACCGGTTAAAGAAGCAGTGAGTGAAGGAGCAGGAGGGAGGAAGGGATGGGGAATGAGAACGAGGAGTTTCTATCTCTTTCCTTCCTGACATGGCTTTGGTCCGTGTTGAGGGATTAGTGTGTGAGGCTCCACCACAGCTTCTACCTTGGCTTGTATCCAGATATTATCTTTAAGTGTGAGTTCGGCCTCTCTCTCTCCGTTTCCCTTCCCCCTTCCCGTATGAACTCAGTAGTGTGAGTCATCCCAGGCTGCTCGGGGAGTGATTTAATTGCTCTCTCTCCTCCTCCTTAAATGTGCACTTCTCAAAGAGGGCTGTCGCTGACCCCTCCACTCCTACAAAAAACACCAGCGACCTATTCATTACCGCAAAGGTTGACCCACCTCTCAAAGACAGCGTAAATACACAATGCTGACATTTGTTCGGTTCGCCCTGTTGATGCCGGCACCGCCTGCTCCTGCCGCGGTTCGCCCTGATAACTCTTCTTTATTGTTTCCCGGGTTGTAGCCCAGCTGAGTGAATGTGGGCACAATACTCACGATTGAAACGACCCCACAGCACCAGAAGAGCTTTGGTAATCACAGTAAAGGAAAAAGCGCTCTGTTGTCATCACACTGGGGGTCACAGAATTGTTTTGTGACTGCCAATTGTTTGGTATATAGAGGCTTTGAATTGTTCCTGGTTGAAATTGTGGCACAACATTCTCATTCAAAATAACACACTGAGGTTTTCTGGTTTTATGAGATGCAATATGTGAGGGGACAAAACCTATATAGAGTGTTTCTATTACACAATTATTATACTTTCTATTTCATTTTTCTCTGAGCAATTTGGGCTCCAATCAATGGCGCCGTATGGGGTATTCGGACAGCAATCTGCATTTTTCTGTCCCACGTCTCTGCACTTGTAAGTGTAGTCAATAGGTGGCACTGTTCCTACAGACCAGCAGTTCTTTCCTAATGTGATGTGTAGACGCTACCTAACTTGGAAAGGCTGATTGTGATTGGAAATAGGTTTGCCTTGACTCAGAAACACCCATCCATATACTGTATGAACCCTCTCAGATGAGTGACTTGTTTGTTGTTAATAGGGGAGAGTAATTATTGCACCACCACATCAGTCCAATCTCATTCAAGTGATTGAACATTGACGCTGGCTGTGTGATAGACACAGCTCAAAAAGGGGGCGAGGAGGCTAAAATGCCACTGTGATTATAACAATTAGAGAGGCTGAGCATAAAGAAGAGTGCATTGCTCCTGGGGCCGACTGGCTTTTTTGTCTCCCCTGTGATGCTGATGAGTGTCTCAGAGTTGTATAAGAGCGGACGGGGATCAATGGAGAATGCTGACTCCTGAGAATACTATGGATGTACTCTGGACTGCCTGAGATGGCTACTAATCCAGAATGATTATGCAGTGTACCCTTTGCTCTCGGGCTAGTCTAGACAAACAACACATACTTACACGCACACACGCACGCACGCACGCACGCACGCACGCACGCACACACACACACACACACACTCGTCCTGCCTGTCACTCCGCAGCTCCGCAGGAGAGATTTAGGGGTTAATGCCTCGCTCAAGGACAGCTAAACAGTAGCCTGCAGCCTTTTAAATTATTTTACAAGTAAGAGTCATGCATTCATCATCGTACTCAATGATCTTAAGAAAAAAAGTATTACCATCAAATATATTTGAACTATTGAAAATAAAAGTACTCTTTTTGCAGTATGGCCAAATATTAGTCATATTTAATAGTCTATGTCTTTCCTAACTAAAGTTAATTTCAACATTGACCAAAAAATGTGGTGGGGCAAAGTTATATTGTAGTTGAATTAGAATTACCTAATTGTGAAGTTACATACACAAACACGTACTGATGTGTGCAGATACTCCAATGAAACAAATCAAATCTTTAATAATAGGCATTTGGTTCAAAGCAGAGTCACTTTTCTTTCCCACAAAAGCACACACTCAAGAGTTTTGCTGCAGTTTGCAGTTCACCCCCCTCACCGAGAAACAGATTTATTTCAGATTTAACTAATGATCTCACTAAAGCTATACAGATGTTGTTGCTTCCATCGCTGAGCCATCGCCAGGAGGCAAAGCCTATAGGAACACAGACAAAGTCCTAATGCTTACCTCCAGATCCCTCCTCACTCCTGCCTTCATCCTGCCTCACCCGCTCCATGCTGCACAAACAGAGTGGATGCTTCTGAGGCAGTCACAGCATAGATTTCAAAATACTGCATTGATTTTGTTTTCAAAGACATTCAAATTTGAGAATGTGTCAGTTTGTCACATCTGAAAACAGCATGCGGAATTAATGCTGTGATTCAGTGAATACTGTGTGGTTAAACTAGACCTGGGCCAAGTAGTGTATCTGATACACTTTACTCTACCATGAAGACGAATGGGTTATAAGATTGACACAGTGAAGACTGCAGAGACAAAATCACTGCGAGAAGGATTTTGGAAGTGTATTTTTTATATATTTCTTTCTGTGACAGCTTACCTGCCATTTTCTATCGCACAGCAAAACTATTGTTACAGTCATTTCAGCGATTTACTTTCTTTATTAATTGTGTTGTCACTCCTCATATGTCCTCCTCTTCTCTTTACAGCTATGTTGGAAGTGAACGTCCCGGAGCAGCCAGTGGTGGTGCTGCACGGCAGGGATGCCATTCTCAACTGCTCCTTCAGTCCCGCCAGCGCCTTTAACTTGTCCGATCTGAGCATCTTCTGGCAGCTGACGGACACCAAACGCAATGTGCACGGGTACTGGGAGGGGCGCGACCAGCTGGTAGACCAGGCCGAGAGATTTGCCAACCGTACCAGCCTGTGGCCCGTCCAGCTGGGCCTGGGCAACGCCTCGCTCCTGCTGAGCAGCGTGGTGGTGGCGGATGAAGGCAGCTACACCTGCTTCGTCAGGGTGCAGGACTACGGCAGCGCCGCTCTGCTGCTGCTGGTGGCCGGTGAGTCAAGCTCCGTGACACCTGTGGAAACAGACGAACATGCACATGGACATTTATAACCAGAGGGAGGTAGAAAATAGATACAAAACATTCCTTACAAGTGAATGACTGCAAATTAGCTTCATATCGACAAATAATGATATCCAATGCATTTATTATATATATAACTATGTTTATCTGTATTGTTCTTGTGGAATCAATCAACAAACACCAAGATTGACTTTAATTATAATTTAGAATTATTTCTCTCTTTCATAATCAACACAATATTTTATCAAGCAAAAAAAAAAAAAAAATATATATATATTTATATATAAATAAGCTCAGTGTCCTACCACTCAATGAGATGTTTTAAAAAAAAATACAAAATGTATGACATTTTTCATAGAATGATGAACTGAATATATAAGAAGCATAATGATGGTAATGTTAATAAATAATGAAAGCCTAAAATGTATGTACTTCTTCAAATGATTCTCTTTTACTTTGAAAATAGCAATTTAGTATAGCACCACGAGTTAGACAGTGAGACAGATTTTAACTGGGTCTTTCATAATATAGGATTTGCACTAAAAGATTATTATTTAAAAAATAATTTTACACACACACACACACACACACACACACACACACACACACACACACACACACACACACACACACACACACACACACACACACACACACACACACACACACACACACACACAACACACACACACACCACACCACACACAACACACACACACACACACACACACACACCACACACACACACACACACACACACACGCACACACACACAGAGATGTGTACATATATTGTTTTTTGTCATGCTGTTACCTTGAATAACGTTTGCATCGTAGCTCACTTCACACTTTGAAGTGATTGTATCGAAAGTGATTTGACCTCAGCCCTTATACACACATATACACCAACATCACTTAATACAATCTATTATTCAATTACCTACAGAGGAGGTTATTTATGATTATGTCTTTTCACAAGATGTGCAGGTGATAAACAGTTTCCTCAGGGCTGCTGTGGTTTTGCTCAATAAGCGCTGATTGTGGTCTGTCATGGTCAATATCTGCTGACTTTGATTATTAGCTGTTGTTACAGTCAATCAGCTATCACTAACATCTTCACTGCTGTGTGACTAGATTGCCCGCCTTCACAGCTGGGAGCCTTTTATATATTTATAATGATACTGTGGGCCTATTTTTTCATCTTGGCTGGGGAAAGGAAAAACAATGACTCAAACAGTGACAAATTGGTTCCATTTTTATGCATTAGATTTATAGCTTAACCAACATTTACAGTTATCTTAGTAGTCTTCCTTGAAGCTGTGCTGGAAGAAAATGAAAGGAGCCCCTTGATGGAAATCTGCCTGTCAGTCAAACGGACAGCTGGGGAAGTTAGTGTGTACCACGCTAAATCTGTCTTTGTGTTGAGAGTCCACTTTTGAAAAATCAGCTCAGTCAAACTTATTTCATCTCGCCCTCAGCTCCACCCCATTGTTTGCTGTGCAATGATTGGTTCTGGGAATACAGCAGCCTATTTCCCCGCCACCTCTATACTCATGTTTCAGCTCAAGGGATTGAAGAAGCGTGATTTCAGCTGAGGCGGACAACTAACCCCTCACCTACACACCCCTTCGCTCTTTTCCATGCTATAGGCTGAGTCGTTTTACATTTCTGCGCCTGACACTTTTCTCCTAGGCCTGCCCACCTCGTTCCCCCAGGCTTGCACCGTATTCCCTTTCTGAAAGTGTCTCAGAGCTTTGGGTCTCTAGAGAAAGTGGCGTTGAGAGTGTGGGGATGCAGCATCAGGATGTGCCACAGATGCTCTCTGTGTCTGTGGGATCTTAAGCACTGTGTTATGCTAAGCTCCCTAAATATAATTAAGAATTTAATGGGAATCATGTCAAACAGTTCCCAGGGTGACTCTCACTGCAGAGAATTCACTAAATTCACTATGTGTCTGCTTCTCCTTTTCCCCCTCTCCATCTTTACCCCCCCCATACCTCTTTTTCTCCCCCATCCAACCCTTTCCTTCTCTATTTCTTACCTTTTTCAGCCCCTTACTCCAAGCCTGTAGTGACGTTGGTGTCTGAAACCAACCTGCGGCCAGGTGATGAGTTGGCACTAACTTGCGTGGCCTATGGTGGGTATCCTGAAGCAGACGTGATATGGCAGGATGGAGGCGGGCGCAACTTGACGGACAATATCACCACTTCCCTGGTGGCCAATGAGGAAGGGTTGTTCATGATGACCAGCGTGCTGACAGTAGTGCTGGAGCCCAACAGCACCTACAGCTGCGGACTGATCAATCCACTTCTGGGCGAGGAGGGCTACGCCTTTGTCACAATCACAGGTGGGTGTGGGTTTTCATCTCCCTTTCTCTATAAATAACTTCCAGGCATTTCAGTCAACGATGTCAGCTCCATTCTGGTGCAAGGTAAACAATATTCACTGGCTTCCTGCCGCGTTTGAGTGTTACCAGCTCAGACTAATCTCACTTTCAGACATAGTTTCTTATTATAGTCTGCTATGCTTATGTGAATCAATCCATCAGTCAAATGTTATGCTATGGAGAGACTGTCTTTGTCCTTCTCAGTCTCTCTGTTTCAGTTACGGTTCCGCTCCAAAGAAATGAATTAGAAATAATGAAATGTCCAATTATAGTTCAATGAGCATAACCCATCAGTTCTCTTGCATCGGTAAGTGAGATCAGTGGGTGATCATTTCCCGGGGGACAGTCAAATAGCTATTCATTACATATTTCAAAAGGCAATTTGGGTAATACAAAAATTGTGCTAGGGGGAAAGATCGGTCTCTTACCAGCTTATTGCAAGTGTTAGCTAACCAGGAAGTAGATTCATGTTTTAATGTCTCTGTTTCTAATCTTGAACTTGGTGTGACAATACCATCTAATGGGTCTAATGGTCCCCTGAATCCCACAAACCATCTTCAGCCACAGCCCATGTCCCCCTGGCCCTGCTGCTGTATTATATGTGTTAAGTGCAAGGAGAGTGGCGTGTAAGGTGGGCCAAGGCTGGGGCTCTAATGGGAGCAGCCCTGTGTGAAATGGCTCATAAATAAGTAGAGGTAGCCTGAGCCGGCTCTCTGGGCTGGAGCTGGTGTTGGAGCTCGGACTGTTGAGGCGGAGGTCGAGGCAGAGGTCAGGGAGTGCTGCTCCACTGGGCTGGGAAATGACTGTGCTGTCTGAAGACGGGATGGCCGATTGGCAGGGCAGGTTTGCAGGGTGGCCTTTTCTAAAAGTTTGGTTGGCCTCTTTCAAGACAGCAAAGCTAACCAGAGGGACCATTGGGGCAGTGGACAGGTATTAAACACATGGTAGGAATGAAATATGACATTAGGGTGACTGGTAAAATGGTCCGGGGCTGCTATTACCCTTTGATCCTGCCCGATGGATGTACTACTTCAGGTTCGGTTGAAATAGAAAAATATGTAATCCTTTTATACGGCCAATGCTTGAGTTATTGTGTTTTCAGGTTGTCAGTACACACGTCTCTCTGTTAGAGTTGCATGATATTCTTCCATACCTTTTCAGCCTGACATTTTATTCAAAAAAATGGTCCCTTGATGGAGATCAGTGGCATAGCAGAAACTCTTAGTTATACACCAGAATGACATCATCTTACTATTGGATGGCTTCTCAGTGCACAACATAAATGCTTGGTCTTCAGGGATGCAACAGTGTCATCATAGTCCAATGTCTGTCATCTGTCTTTGGAATAAAAGTAACAATAAACAGTTAAGTATACTTGTCAGCACGGTATGGGCGCCCTGCTGTGCCATGTGGATAACAGCCATTCTCCCGTGCAACTCTTCAAAGCCAGTGTGACAATTGCTTTGAGTGGTTATAACACTAAAGGGAAACGACAAGAGTCCAAATTCTTTGTGAGTGATGGATTGGAAGCATTCTCTTTTAAAAAATGGTCACTTCTTCTGTAACCACGTCGTTTATTTCAAACTTCAGAAACGTTTCTGTTTTATTTGATTGAGAAACACTTGCATTGCCTTATCACGTTCACTTAAATGGCTTTTATATAGGCCGGATCGTAATTCTGATGCAATTGCATCGTTGACTTTGGGTATGATATAAACATTTATTTGAAACATGTCATGGACAAATTAATAAAATAATGATATGAACATGCTCAACTTGTGAAAAGCACTGTAAAGTGTGATGATGAGTTGAGTTCCAATGCTTTGGTAATTGATACATTTTTTGAAGCTAATGGGGATCATAATAACGAAGACAGACGGGTTGTTGACATTTGCGTTAAGACTTCATTCATTCACCGATTATTCCAGTGGGAGACTCTTGCACACAATTTGGCATTTAAAGGAGACGGATAAAGTTGCAATGATCAGTTGATTATTCTATTAAATAGGGCAAATATTCTCTGTTTCTGCCTTCTTAAAAATAGGGATTCGATGCATTTGTCACACATGAGTATCTTTGGAATATAACCAGTTGGTCAGACAAAAGCTGACATTTGAAGATGTCACTTTTGACAGTGGGAAAATTAAACAGTTTTCTCAATTTGATGGCAATTTATAGTGAAAAGTAACTAGCTGCAGTGCTAATAGTCAATATTAGAGCCGTTTATATAGGCTTTGATTGTCTTTATCGTTTAACATGGTCCTGCTGTTCCTCTTACTTAAAAAAAGGAATCAGTTTGAATGGTGGCAGTCAAAGAAAGTACCAAGATGAAAAACAGACTGAAATCTAGACTTCAGGCCAAAGAGTAAGGATCTACATCTGTCGTGTGACGAGTTACACATTTAAAGGGGACATAAATCCACACATAAACTGGATAACCTTCAATTAAAACATTCGTGACCACGATTTACAGAAATTAGGTATACATGAAAAAGAGGAATTTCTCTGGGAGCGCCAGCAGAGCTCATTGATGGCCCGAGTTGCTGGTAAACACACCAAGGATTTACAGTTTTTTTTATGTGCCGCGAAAGAAGGGGGTTTGTTTGGAGAGAAAATGTATTTGCATTTGTTTACTGCAGCTGGTGTGTGCTTAACAGCTTCTGTAATTAATTTTGACCCAGCAAAAACTCTTCTGCTGGAGTAGCTGAGTGTGTATTGTGCCGAGCTTCAGTTGATATAGAGAACACACTTGCTTGCTGCATACACTTACGGGCACAGCACATCACACACTGCACTCAGGAAGTGGAGAAGCCTATTATGAGAATGGGGGAAATATGCTTAAAATTCTAAATGGACTATGAGAGTGAAAAAAAACCAATAAGAAATGAGTAAAAATAGAGAGACGCAGGGATGGGGGGAGGTTGAGAGTGAAGAAGCTTGTGGAAATTTCACACTCTCCCCAATTTGTGATTGAAAAATTGCAATAGTAATACAAACCTCCCCCAGGCAGAACACGAGTCTGACAAGGTTAATTTTGAGAAAATGAACCCTTTACTCACACTGAGCGCAGCAGAGCCTGTGTGAAGTCATCCATGTCCTTCTAACCTCTTTTATAGTCACCGCCAATTGAACTACCTCCCCATGAAGACTGCCAACAACATGCACACTATCATGCATTCTAAGGGACGGTTATGTTTGTAAATGTGACCTTGTGTATTTGTATAACATCTCAATGCCTTCATGTGTTCATTGCTCAGTTTAAGCCACACTCTGGCATCGGGAGTGTTTTTGTGTTTTTCTGGGATATTGATAGATTTTGCAGCAAAGCTTAGCTGCAGGGAGACTCTAAGGAACAGCTGGTATTAATGAATAGTTGAATGATGGAAAAGAACAGCTTCAGACCTCGAATGAACTGTGTGCTTTCCTGGCAAGCATACGTGTCTACCAACCCGCCCTTCTTTCTCTCATCCTCCCCCTCCTCCTCCACCTGTCTTGATGCTTTCCACTGCCTCACATTTCCAGCCTATTCTGACCACTTTGTTCTACTCAAAAAAAGAACAATGTACTTGGAGTTTGGGGGGGGGATCAAGAGTCCATATCCAATCATTTTTTGACTCATCCTTTTCTGAATGTGGAGCTTTAGCAGTGTATCCCATCTACTGGAGCTGGGTGATTACTGCAGTGTGTTGTCTGATGGCCGGGTTTCAGGGCCTGTCACTGTGAACACCCCCTCCAGCACCACCCCCACTCCGTCTGCTTGCTCTCTCAATGAGGATGGCGCCATTTCCCCGGCATCTCTCTGCTGGCACAGCATTTACAGTGAACAGTGTGCGGATGGAGATATATAGAGCGAGGAAAGGAAGGAGACAGAGAGATGAGGCAGGGAGATAGAGAGAGGGAGCTGGGGGGACAGGGTTAGGAGGGGTGAGAAATGGGTGACAGAAAGTAAGATGGAGACGAAAACGTTTGCTGAGCTCGGAGTTGTGGCACTACGGCCTGACAGGCGGGAGATGGACTCGCTGAAGGGGAGGGAGATCACCCCACATGGTGTGGAAGGCTTTTTGCTGAATTTTACTATCTATCTGGCATTCTGTGGCTTTTCTCTTGGCAACACAGTGGCTCAGCGGTTAGCACTGTTGCTTCACAGAAAGAGGATCCCAGATTTCCTTCCCAGTCCCCGTCCTGTCTGTGTGGCTTTGGCTCGCTTCCTCTGTGTTAGTGTGGCTTCCTTTTCATCCCTTGGTTTCCTTACACATTCAAATGTCATGTCGTTTTCACTCCTTATAGTATGTTTTTCTGTATTTTATTACAGAGGATGAAAACTGTTGGCATTTTGAGATTTTGCTAAATAATTTCTAGTGGACCCATGAAATAAAGACTGATAATAGACCCTCTCTTAGGTCAGCAGGAGCTTGTCAATGGCATATATTAGGTGTTGAATAAAACCCATGAATGAAACTTAACCAGAGTGTCCGCGGGGTCTTAAAAAGTATTAAAAGTTGATAAATCAATTTAGCGAAAATTAAGGCTATTAAAAAGTTTTAAACGGCATTTTCCAAAGTATTACATTTTGTAGCTTGTATCAATAAGTATATAAATTGTCCAAAGAGGTTGTATTCTACAGTCTGCCTGAATGTAATCATTGCGTAGGTGTGTAGTGTGATTCTGTGTAGTTTATTTATGGCATCCCGTTAGATTTGACGTCATCTGAACAGGACATCGCACGCTCACTGCTTGATAGCGCGCGAAGGTCCGTTTACGCCGGTTGTTAAACAACATCGTTATGGGGAAATGCAAGTCTGCGTCCAAATGGTTGGAAGATAAGGAGGAAGGACAATCAATACTGTATATAGTGAATGTGAGGTAAAGTGTGTCGCCAATGTAACTCGAAGTGGAGATGAGGTCTTAAAATGTATGGAAAGGGACTTAAAAAAGGTCTTAAAAGGTATTACATCTGACTTCAGGATTCCTGCATATACCCTGGTATGTAAATATAGCTTTCATCAAGTTTAATTTGCAAAAAGCCATGTTTTGTTAAGTAAATGTTTTTGATCTATAACTCAGTGCTTAATCAGTGTAGTGTTGATAATTGTGTCATAAAGGCTGCAGGGAGGTTCGTCACACTAACACGCTTAATGTGGAAAGTCACACTCTTTTCGATGTTGTTGAAATGCTCATTATTTGAGAATTATAAAGTGTTTTTCTGTTCAGTTCTGATGGAGCTCTGTGAGCGTGCCAGCCATGTTTTCCAGTAGATTTGTGACACTGCACGGCTTTGATGCATTTTTATACTCTGTGACAAACCCACTGATCTGCAAATAATCCACGTCTGCTGTAGAAGATCATCTTATAAATGTCGCCTGAGGTTATTAGATTGTGTAACTCAGTGCTGCTGAAGCCATGTGGAAAGCTGATTGTTTCTGGTATAATCAGGTAATACATGAAAGGACATTTGAGTAACCTGGTTATGTTAATGTATTGTGGGTATCTATCTGGGGTGCTAGTGAATTAATTTCAGTTTCAGAAAAACACTGCGCTAGTGGATTGTCAAAGGGGGAGCCTCGTTGCGGAGAAATTATACAGATGGCTAGTCCGCCCCTGAAAATGTCTATGCAAACGTTATTATTAATATAAAAAAAAAAATTAAATTATAAAAAAAATTAATACATTTTTTTTAATCTTTTTTTTTTTTTAAATTTTAAATTTTTATTTTGTAATCACCCCCACTTTGGGAACCCCTGTGATAGAGAACTGTAGCGGATACCACCGTTACCTTCTCGTGTGGCTGCAGCTTAAGACTAAAACTAAAATAGCTGCCAAAATTACCACTGATTTCAATTGGCTTTTCCTTTCTTTTCTTAGAGGGAATGAAGATGAGGGGCTCCAAGCCGGACTCGAATGGCTCCCAGAAACTATTGAGTAAAGAGGTGGGTTTAATATCATCTGTCCACATGTTAATTATTTGATTTACACTCTAAACTAACACTGTGTTATATGATAATGTGTTTGCTCAGCTCCTGTGAAATGTTTGACTGTTTGTTTGTGTTTTGAATTAATGTTTTTTTACACACTTTTTAATGTATAGCTTATTTTCTGTTATGTTATCTCTCCATCTATAGCTTAATAATGTTACGTTTCTTAATTCTTAACAGGATGAAGACCTAAAATGGGTTGAGGAAAACATTCCTACATCTGTCATTGATGTGTAAGTATTGTCAATTTTAAATTTAAAACATTGAGTCAAGGAAATGGATATATTATGCGAGCTGGATTTTGAGAGAATAAGGTATCGGATTAAAACTGAAATCCTTAATATTATGTCACGTTCAGTTTATGTAAGTCACACACTTTTTTCAATGAGGGCCACATACAGACTAGAGGTATATTGCCTCCATAAGTTAATAATAAGTTAGCTAAATCAATTAAATGTAGGTAAAAAAAATTGTTGATGTGTTACTGAATCTTCACATTTTTTAATACAAAATATTGTATTTATTTGATCTTTTATTGGACATTTTATTTATACTTCTATCTATATTCTCCCTTCCTTTCTACAGGACATTTAGATTGACCGTATGTTAGATAAATATCTTTATTCTATTTTATTTGAGCTTTTATTGGAGATTTAAACGTAACGTCTAATGTTTATTTGTAATTCATGTATAAACAAGACACAGAACCCTTCTATTTTTTATTTTTTTTGTACCTTTTAAAAAAAAAATTGTATTCTCAAAAAGAACAACTGTCACAAAACCCAATCCCCCCCGAGATAAATAACTGGTCCAGAACTCTGCCGCCCGCATCACCACCAGAACCCCCTCCATTAACCACATCACTCCTGCACATCAACACACCCATCCTTCCCTCCACCTCACTGCACCGCCCTTCCGCCTAACCACCATGGGGTCTAGAGCCTTCAGCCGCTCTGCACCCCGCCTAACCACCATGGGGTCTAGAGCCTTCAGCCGCTCTGCACCCCGCCTAACCACCATGGGGTCTAGAGCCTTCAGCCGCTCTGCACCCCGCCTAACCACCATGGGGTCTAGAGCCTTCAGCCGCTCTGCACCCCCCCTAACCACCATGGGGTCTAGAGCCTTCAGCCGCTCTGCACCCCGCCTAACCACCATGGGGTCTAGAGCCTTCAGCCGCTCTGCACCCCGCCTAAGTAACTCTTTTGCCCCCCGCCTAACCACCATGGGGTCTAGAGCCTTCAGCCGCTCTGCCCCCCCCCTAACCACCATGGGGTCTAGAGCCTTCAGCCGCTCTGCACCCCCCCTAACCACCATGGGGTCTAGAGCCTTCAGCCGGTCTGCACCCCACCTAACCACCATGGGGTCTAGAGCCTTCAGCCGCTCTGCACCCCCCCTAACCACCATGGGGTCTAGAGCCTTCAGCTCACTCTGCACCCCCCCTAACCACCATGGGGTCTAGAGCCTTCAGCCGCTCTGCACCCCACCTAACCACCATGGGGTCTAGAGCCTTCAGCCGCTCTGCACCCCCCCTAACCACCATGGGGTCTAGAGCCTTCAGCCGCTCTGCACCCCGCCTAACCACCATGGGGTCTAGAGCCTTCAGCCGCTCTGCACCCCGCCTCTTGACCTCTCTCCCACCTGACATCCGCAACACTGACTCTCTCCCCATTTTCAAAACACATTTCTTCACACTCGCATATCCACCCTGATCATTATCCATCCCACATCCTCTGTTTTATTTATTTGATTGATTTATATACTGCATTGTCTTGTTTATGGCTCTTATGCTGGTGTTATGTATATCTTGTTTTTTATGTGTTTGTACGGCGACCTTGAGAGCCTTGAAAGGCGCCTATATAAAATAAATGCATTATTATAATCTGACTCTGATTAAAATGCAGACTGTATGAGTGCATTCACTTCCTCCCTCTCTGTTCCCCTCTCCATACAGAGCTCTCCCTGTAATGCTGGATGAGGAAGAGGTAAAGACTCTTTGTATTTCCCCCGAGCATATCCCATGATCCCAATCTCATTATAACATTAAACTCCAGTAATGGCCTTTACTGTGCTTTCATTCCACAATCACATCACTCTGAGTACTAACGTGTGTTGTCTTTCTCCAGGAGATTCTGAAAACCAAGTTGGAGCGATCCAAAATGGAGTAGAAGTCGTCGTGAGGAGAGGATGTGATGTATTGGAAAGAAAGCGATTTCACTGAGGCAGCAATGAATGCGTTCTCAGTGATCTGATTACCAAAAAAAATGTGGGCAAAGCCAACCTTTCTCTTCTCCAGACACTTTACGTTTCTGGTTTTATTTCACAGGTATTGTGTCGCACTGTAATAAGCACCGAGAATAGTGTTTCATATTAAGATCTTTACTGCGCAACATGTAGTTTGGAGGGGTTGGTTTTCAGGAGGGAGGGGACACTGATGCAAGAGCACTTTGATAAATATATTATTTGTTTTGGAAGACGCTTTCAATGTCACAAAATAGGTCAAAATTCAACAGAATACGTGCATTTTACACAATTTAAAAGTGCATTGGAATTAGACTAAAACAATATTTCACATAAAAGAAATGACCCAATTCAATCCAAGTGATCCTAGCGCCTGATCTGTCAAATGTGTAGGACTGCAACGACTGATTTCAGATCCGTTCAGGTACATGTTGATAATTGGGCAGTTTTATCCAGCCAGATATATCTGATAATTTGACAGATGGAGCTTAAAACACACGCTGAAAACGGAAAGTTATTGTTCATAATGAGGTGATATTTACACAGCGTCTGATACTTGAACTTATCGTTGGTAATGTGCTGTAAAAGACTAGAAATGTAAAAAAATGTTTTACATGTAAAATGGGTCACATAATAGATATGGTGTGATTAGCCATTTAACCAGATAACAAAAATGTATTATTTCATAAGCTAATTCCTTATAGCTTCTTCAACAAATCATATGTGTATATCGTTTTGTTAACACACGACTAACACTGTTATCTGGCTCAATGATTAATTTAAATATAGAAATACAGGACTTACTTTTATAATTTGTGAACACGGCTGCATCAGTGTGTATTGAAACTTGAAGCATATCACCGTAAGATGTACATGTGTGTGTTAACTACAACACACTGTTATCTGTTCTGGGAGAATGTAATATATATAAACACAGTGTCATCAGAGGCATTCAGATTGTCATCAGAGGCGTTCAGATTGTCATCAGAGGCGTTCAGATTGTCATCAGAGGCGTTCAGATTGTCATCAGAAGCGTTCAGATTGTCATCAGAAGCGTTCAGATTGTCACTTCAACACGGTACATTTCAAGCTACTGGAAATAAGAGTCTAATGATAGCGATTTTAGAGCTTTTACTGACAAATGAAAGACTGCTTGGTCCTCAGAGTGGAGAAAATGTATGAAAAAAGACCCGCTTTCAAGGATAAGAGGTCTAAAATTAAGGATGTTTATTTCTATCTCTTTAAAAATCAAGCTTTTATAGCATCTCCATTAATAGCTGTGATTTATGTCTACTTAATTTCACCATTTATTTTAGCTACTGTATCACAGAATACACTACTAAGCCTCACAGATGTGGTGTCGGCCTACATTTAAATGATTTACTGTATGTATGTAATCCTTTCTCAGAGTTTTCCCACCCTAATTCAGTTGCACAGTGTAGATTAAAATGAAAAAATCTGTACATGCTAAATTAATCATTTCCATTTCACCCATCAATCCCATTTACACTCCCAATAATCCTGCCTTTCTGTGGCAGAATGATATGCCCGTCCTTGTTAAAACTACTGCAGTACAGTATGTGTGTATGTTTTAAAACTCTTAATTAATGTCTCTTTTTTTTATATATTTGTCCAACTCTTGTTGAGGATTTATTTTTATTTTAGAGAGAAACCAATTTCTGGATGTGAGTCTGCGTAGTAATGTAAAGCTGATGATATTGTATGGCTTTTTGCGTGTGTCCTGCAAATAAAATTTATATTATAACACAATGGCAGTTTTTGTTTACATTTTTAACATGTGCACTCCTTTTTTGATTTTACTGTACAATCATTTCTGTAAGTATACATGTATCCTTTTATTAGTAGCCTATTAAATAACTCTTGAAAGAAGACATTTTGTGTAAAAAACGAAATATGTTAATATATAATTATGTCAAAATGAATTAAACAGCTGTTCATTTTTGCACCTTTTTATTGAAAGAAAAAAAGAGCTTTTTTAACAGTAAAGTACATACAAAAATCTCAATGAATAAAATCTCGCGAGAATTGCAAGTGCATTATTTATGTCACTGCACCTTTAATGCGTTCCTCGTGAGTGCGATGACTTCTGTCACGTGCCTGTCAAACCTCATTCCCTCGCGCAGCCGTCGTCAACACAACTGGAGGAAATAAGGAGAAGCTAGCATGGCTAACAAACACTAACGGCTATCGCTAAAACCTCGTTAACTATTTATAATAACTCAACCAAACGCTGTGTTTGTCTTTTATCGATTTATGAACGGGGCCATTTTGTGGCGGTTTCAGTTACCATGGAATAAGAGAGGACAATGTTTAGCTAGGTAGCTTGCTAACTTTTAATGCTAGCATGCTAACGATCAGCTGTTGTTTTGGTCGGAGAGCTAGTTAACCGCTTAGCATTACAGACACCAGATTTCCTCATTCCCTGTCGACACTATTGAGCTACTCTGTCGGTTAATGGCGACACATAAAGTTGTCCCACCCTGACAGACTAACCGTTGGTCCGTCGGTCAGCTTTTGTCCCGACAGACATCCAATCTGTTTGGGATCGATCCATCCGAGCGGTGTGTAATTGAATATATATATTCAAAATGCATGACGCATATGAACCAGTGCCTATATTGGAGAAGCTTCCTCTTCAGATTGACTGTCTGGCAGCCTGGGGTGAGTTGTTGACACTTCTAAGTATCCCAAAGAGCTGCTTTTTTAATGTATTGTTTGACATTGAAGTGGACGTCTGAGCTGCTGTCTCAGGTGATTCAGATTACTCCAGTGGTGTAAATTAACTAAGTACATTTACTCAAGTGCTTTACTTAAGTACAATTGTGAGGTACTCGTACTTTACCGGAGTATTTTCAGTTGATGCTTCTTTACACTTATATTCCACTACATTTTAGAAGCCAATATTGTACTTTTTACCCCACTCCATCTATACATCATATTCCATGTGCTTGTATATAGACTCTTCTTGCACTATTTGTATTTACTTGCACATCTCAAAACATTCTCTTGCACAATTGTATCTGTTTTATGTCCTATATATCGAGAGACAATCGGAGGGATGAAACCCTCTTTAATGGTCACACAAAGCACACACAGTGAAATTTTGTTATCTGCTTTTAACCCATCCTAGTACCAGGGGTCTAGTACTAGGAGCAGTGGGCAGCTATTGTACAGCGACCGGGGAGCAATGGGAGTGGGGGGATGTCCAGTACCTTGCTCAAGGGCACCAGGGCAGGAGGTGAACTGGGACCTCTCCAAGTAGCAGTCCACACTCCATATTTTAGGTCTGGTCGGGGACTTGAACCGGCGACCCTACAGCTCACAGTCCAAGCCCCTACTGACTGAGCCACTGCAGGACAAACTTGACAACTTTGAGTTACTAGTTACTTTTTAGGTTCAGATTAAAGAATAAATGTAGTGAGGTAAAAAGCAGAAACAATAGATTTGAATTCTAGTGAAGTATAAGTAGAATGTAGCATTAAAAGAAAAATACAAAAGTACCTAAAAATTGCAATTAAGTGAAATACTTGATTCAATGTACTTCCAGCACCTATGCATCTTCAAATCTTACTGACCAAATGGCAGTGGCGTCTCTTCTGTCCCTGGCATGTCATCTGTCGTAGCAACTTAAAATCAGCTGCTTTCTAGAGAGAATGATGAGTTATGCAAAGAAACACAATATCGATATAAAGTATTTTGAGATCTTCGTTTTAATGCATGACGACTCGTTCTGAGTGCGTCCTGTTCTGTGTGAAACAGACTCTTCTTATAGGAAGACATCAAAGCTTATTTACATGTTAATCAACATCATATGATGCCAGGTGGTCGCCCCATGGCACAGTACTCTATTCAACAACTCACACCCTACAAAGAACAATGGGATATACAGTTAACCCCTATAGCAAATTCCTTCCACTCATCCTCTCTTCCTGTAGTGTCATAAAACCCCCTTCCAAACACATCTGTTATCCAAGTTACAGCAGTTACATTTCATTAGAATTACACTGTATTAAGTTTTAATACCATCATTGCTTTAACACCTCCCATCAATATGATACTCAGAAGTACTTAGTAATACATGCATGACAGTAGATTCAGATAAGTGATGGTGTTGGTTGCAGAAGGTCTTTAAAGCAGCCTGAATGTTTGGGTGTGGGTTTATGATAAAAAGGGTTGCATTGTGTCTGACAATGTTTCTGGTTTGATAGCATAACATGTCTGAGTTGACTGACAGCATCCTTCTTACTGCCAGACCCTGATTGTTGAGTTTCTCTTCCCACAGAGGACTGGCTGCTCGTGGGAACAAAGCCAGGGCATCTCCTTCTCTACCGAATAAAGAAGGATGCAGGTGAGAAGAGCCCAAAGAGATGTGTGGTGACCTCCACGTAATGTTGCCTGCTTCAAATAAGTCATTTTTGATGTGTCTCTTTCCCCTTAGGCACCAACCGCTTTGAGGTGACACTGGAAAAATCCAATAAGAACTTCTCAAAGAAGATTCAGCAGGTAGATAAGACTGCATGGTTAGACTATTACTGCCTAGATCAAAAAACATCAATGATGAATAAGCATTTAAGATCTGGGGAGGGTAGTCACAAACCAAATACTTTCAGGTTTTTAGGAGTGCTTACTGTGCTGTCCCCTGATTAGTAATTCAATATTAACATGTCTGATAATAAACGTGCCAGTGGCCTACTCCCTCTCCTGGTATTCATCTGGAAATACAACACACCTGGATTCCAAACAGGGCTGATGTGATTGTGATCTCTCAGATTAACCTTCACATTTGTATTGTACTTGATAGTTCTCATTTTGTGCTTGTATTGCTTAGATTTTATACAATTATTGCTCATATTTACTCATTTATGCCTTATTTAGTCTTTGTAAACATGTGTGATTGTTTTAAATCAAAGCACTATTTATGTTGGTCTCACACAACCGCAATTATATTGTGTTTGAATAATTATCATAAAGTTCTTGAATGATATATTGAAAAGTAAAGTTAAGACTTCTCACGCTCACAGAGAAGTGGGTTAAACGACTTGGCTGTAGTGTGTTTGTTACCTCTTTGTAATTTATGTTTTTCTTACTTTTTCTACAGCTTTACGTTGTCTCAAAGTACAACATTCTTGTCAGCCTTCTAGGTGAGTTTCTCTCCTTATTATAACATAATACTAGTTAGTTTAATATCTATTCATTATTAAACCTTCACAGCATTGAAACTGCAACCTTTTTGTGTAAAAGCAAAGCGTTAATCTTCATTCTCTTAACTGATCAAATCCCTTTCTCCTGCAGAGAACAACATCCACGTCCATGACCTCCTGACCTTCCAGCAGATCACCGTGCTGTCCAAAGCCAAAGGAGCGACGCTGTTCGCCTGTGACCTGCAGGTCAGTTACAGTCCCCCTGTTTTCAAGATTCAAAGGCTTTATTGTCAAATGCACAAAAAATACAGCTGATTTGTTTGCACGGGAACATCTTAAACCCCAGGCTCCTCCAACAATATAACATTTGATATACTTAAAGGTCTCCTATCATACTATTTTTAGCCGTATATTATGCGTCTCAGATTTTACAAATATATAAAAAACATGTCTACGAAGTGTTTTGCTCAAAATACCAAACAGATCTTGCATTTTAGACTTCCCTCATATCCCTCTGTTTCAGCTGTTAGAGAAACGCTGATTTTGGGTCCTTAGATTGAAAACAACTAAAAGAGGAGGGGTAGTTAATGCCTGCTCAGAGTTCTACCAGCAGATACAGTTAAATTGATGTGATTGACGTCATATCGGACGCAAATCTGGATCAGCTCCGTTGTTCCCCCGTTTTTAGAGATTTCGGTACGGAGGAAAAGAGAGGGTTTAGATTTCTGACACTTTGTGAGTTCCCTGACACACCGGGGACTAGGGCTGCTCGATTATGGCAAAAATCATAATCTCGATTATTTGGGTCAATAATTGATATCACGATTATTAAAAACGATTATCCATTTACTTTGAAAACATCAATTTATTGGAGAAAAAAAATGTGAACAGTATGTTTTTAACAGTTGATTACCCTGAACTTTAAGTATAACTCAACTAAAAAAATAAAAAAAAGTAATAATAAAAAAATAATCGTTTTTATTTCGATCACGTTGTTTTCGTAATCGTTGCAAGCCATAATCGTAATTAAAATACGATTAATTGAGCTGCCCTACCGGGGTCACATATTTATGTATAAAAGACATCAAAAAGTGCATTTTCCATGATAGGTCCTCTTTAAGACATAAAAAGAAAAAAGATATTGCATTTAAAATCAGAGCGAGTGACATAATGTTGAAAGTGGAATGCAGGATAAGTCATCTGTATTTGCAGCGTTCATACATTACGCCTGCAGTAATGTTACACTACAGTGCTGCTATTATATTCATGCTTGTGTACTGCCTGCTATTTAGAGTTGTTATACTGAGATAATGCTTTACTTGTGCAGGACTACAATCCTACAGCTATAAGTTATTGGACTGTTAAAAAGAAAAGTCAGATGAATCGGTCTCCTGATGTGAAGATGTTTTATGACCAGTTGTTTTGCATTTCTAGACCAATTGACTGCAATTTACGTGTGGTATATATTACTTATTACAGTATTCATTTGACTGCTGATTGTGACCTGGCACTCATTTTGTATTTCAGTCTTTAGAAGGGGTGTCTCAGTGGTGTGGAAAGACAAAGATACGTCATCCATCGTTTGAATGTTTTAGCAGTCCTTTCAGGGACGCGGGGAGTCAGTCAGAGTTGGGGGTGCGGGGGGGGCTGCTAGTGGTGCCTCGCAGCGGAGAAACTGTGACGCACTGGGGGGGAGGGGTGCTAATGGTGCCTCGCAGCGGAGAAACTGTGACGCACTGGGGGGTGGGGTGCTAGTGGTACC